TGGTACAAATGTGAAGATTGTTTAGATTGATATACGATATAAAAGAAAACATAAGCCTAAAATCAGATATCATAAGCTTCTATCAAAGCTCCTTTAAACAGTAGAAGAAAACAATATTGGTCAGCTTTTGCAAAAATTATCAATGATAGTGCCTATGTGTATAATCATTTTGACTGAATTGGAAGGTTTCAAGTGATTTGAAAAAGAAATGTTTATAGAATATTGAACAGTATTTCTAAAACTTCAAAACAAATAGTCTTTCTAGAGGGTGAAGCAGTAAAAGGGGACACTTAACTGAAATGAGCATTTAAGGAAAATAATTTGGGAGCCTTGTACAGAGATTCTTCATTTAATTTATCACTTCATTCAAACCACTTTAAAATTTATTTTTCAGTTATCATAAGTTTAATGGTGATAAAGTTCAATTAACATGAATATGCTTATGTACCTAACTACCTACCTATAAGGTAACACCAACTTTTTGTCTTAGTTGAATATGTAATTTTTTTTAAATTTCTGAAATTAGTTTTAAAAAGCATGAACATGGAAAGGTTGATTGGTTTTATTATGCCATTATTATTCTAAATAGTGAAGGTAAAAATGTCTCCCAAAATGGACAGATCAGTATACTCCCCAATTTAAAAGGTATATGTTAAAAAAATTCCAAGTCAGAGATTCAACATTAGATGAATATTATAATTGCATATGGTTATATCTCAGTTTTGCTAGGTATGCTTTTTCAAAGAAGAGATTTCTAACATCCTTTAGTGAATAGTGAAGCATTAGGAAGACATTATTATGGATGATTGGATCACAGCTGTAATAGCATGATGTTAAAAGAAAAAAAGACAAAACATTATTGCCAGATAAGTATGGAGCAGCTTAAATAGAGGGAGGGATATAGTGAGTGACAGAAACAATCTCACGGATTACTGCTTGGGCACGAAGATTCGAGTATTCAGCTAGCTTGCCAAATACATTGACCAAAGAAAAAGAAAGTCAACAGATAAACTGCAGGAATTAAGCTTATTAATGGGTTTTCAAGCATAAATGTATCCACCCAGCATGATAGAAAAGGGTTTCCTTTGCTTTCCCAGCTGCTAGAATATATATTAAAATATTTCTACATAAACTGCTCATAGGATAGAGAGACTTTTTTTTCTTTTTAAATGAATTCTCACTGACCTGTGGCAATGCTGTACTCTACCCATTCATGTAGGACTGATTTATATTTGAACCAGAACAAGTTGTTTGATTTAATCATGAACTGAATATATTTGAATAGAGATTGTTCGTGTTCACAAGTCTTCTCTCCTTTTTTCTCTTCTCTTATTTAGAGTAAAATTTCACTGTTCCATCCATAATTTAAGAACATGCAAGGAGGTAATTGGAATTGGAGGTAAATCATATTCTTTTGTAGAAAGTATAATTATCGGAAGTTAGTTAAAAACACCTCAATTCTGTTTCAATTTTCATGCACGGAGCAGTTGTTTTGACAGATGGATGGACTTTATTTTTGTAACCGTCCAGGAAAAGTCTGTGTAACACAGTCTAATCAGTGCTACATATCTGTAATGTTTGTTTTTGAATCACTGTGTTTTTGGCTTCTATATTTTTTTCTAGAAGTAGACATTTTTTTCTAAATTTGCTTTTCAAAGCTAATATTTGTATGCATAATTCCTCCATCCATTTGATCTGAAAAAACTAGAAACCCTTTAAAAACGGTAAATGGTTTGTCACTAAGGATGATGAATCCTTGTTCCTCAGGTGTGGCCTTGGGTTTTACTTACTTTTACTTCTAAGCTAATAATTTATAATACTGTTGCTCTGGAGTAAATTTCAGTAAAGTAAGAGGTCAGTATGGTTGCCTGACTCTCGGGAAGCCAGTTTGTTGCTAAACTTGTCTTTGTACATCAACTTAAATTCCAAAAAGGATCAAGGTTTGAAAAATGAATTCATTTTGAACTGATTCCACTCTCTCTTTATTACGTTGTAAATCCTCCAGTGCTGAGCAAAACAGGTCAGTAGTTTAAGGCCAAAAATTACATTACATTCTGAGTTTGAGAATCGTCATGGTTCAAGGAAAGGTCAGAAACACTCTTCTTCTGCCTCCCTAGAGCAGAAATGTGTGAAGTGTGTTTCCTTTTTCTGCCACGCTTCCCTCTTTTTAGAGGTATGTCCATGCTGCTTCCAAATAAAATGAATATCTTGTTTTGGAACACTCAAAAACCTTGGCAGCAACAAGCTAGAGAATGAAGGCAAATGAATGACAGGATTGATACTCTTTTATGTAGCTTTTCTGTTAAGAACAAATCCTTACTAACAATATCTCTTTCAAGTTTTTGGTTCTTCTCTGTCCAGTTCTTTTAATTCACTTTCTTCCTCCATTGTTTTCAATGAGTCTCCTCTCGGTTATTTTTAACCAGTTTTCAAAGTATTTCCTTCCATTCCTTTGTTTCATTCCTAGCACCTTTATACTCTTTAAGCCCAAGAAATTTCTCTCCATTCTATTTGCATCAAACTTCACTTTCAAAACAATGCTGAGCTAGCCCCCAGGGCATGGCAACAATAGAACCTGCTGCCAGTTGGGAGAGTTCAGTGGGGAACTAAAGGGAATCATTCCAGGCCTTGGGCCAATAGGGTGGGTCTAGCTGCTTTGTAACACAGATAGACTCCCATTATCAGCATTCTCAGTAGGACCCTTTGCCAGGTTTCTCAGATATACTCCTGTGATTGATTTTGTTCCATCAGCTCTTTAGAAGAATTGTCATACTATAGTGGTTCTTCTTTAACAGTTAGTTGAGAAAAAAATTAAAATTATAATATTCAGTGTGGTCCAATTCCATAGTTTAAGAACCCTGAGCATTTTTCAGTCCTCAGTTATAATCTGCTAATTCCTTGGGAGGACAGAAGTGGTCTCTAATAAACTGCTATTCAGTTATTCAATCTATAAGAGATAAAGAACCCACAAATTCTATAATATTAGGATTCATAAGTTGCAGGAGTAGAATGAGCCTTTGTGACAAGTATTCCTACTCACAAAATATTTTCTTCCTTTTTATTATGGAAAACTAAGTTCTATTCTTAAATTTCTAGGAGGCACTCAGTTGTCACTGATAGAATTAGGGAATTTGGGTCCGTGAACAAAATTACATGCATATCATTAAAGGCCTGGCAGGCAAACTGAAACCCTGTTCTTTTCTAAAATGAAAAAGATATACATCTGGGTCTGCCACTATTATTTAATAGAATAGCCCTTTGCTTACCAATATATGCACAGCCAATTTCTTGGTTTCAACATATGGTGCTGAAACTGGTTATTTATAATCATGGATACTATAATATTGAGTCCACAATCAGGGATGATTATCTTTATGTAAAAGCAGAATATGTGGGCACCTACATGTTGAAAATGTTTCAAAGTAAACATTTTCCTGAAAATGGATTCTTTGCAAATGACTGAATTTTTTTGAGAGTACAAATAAATCCTTTGGGTAAGACTCATGAATGCCTCATTTGTAAATGAGTTTATCAGATGTTTCCCTTTCCACAACCTCTTTCCTCTGCCCAAGCATTCATGCCCTATCCTCTTGGGGAAGGAGAAACAGTTACAGAATGAAGAGTTTGTTGCTAAGAGTAGTGGAAGTTAAGTTGTATCTGTTTCACAGTTTTACCTAGGATGTGCCCTGTTCAAAATGAAACATGGATGAGATCCACAAACCCTTTAAGCTGGGGAATTTTTCCTCAGAACAACTTGCAAAATCAATTTACTTCAGAGAGTAATTTTATATGCTATAATGCCTTGCCAGATAAAAGAAAAACTCAGGATCTGTGTAACAAAACAGTGGAAGAACCTATATGTTTATTATAGTTACCTGGAAAATACTTTTCACATGTTAATAATGCGTAAAAAGTCATAACTTGAAACTTCTACATTTCACTTTAAATAGGCCTAATTCATCTTTAGGAAAATATATTCAAAGAACATCATCAGGGTTCATCCTAGAAAAATCAGTGATTATGGACAGGAAGTATTTGAACTTAAATATCAATTAAAAGGCTCAAATTTGATTGCCTGCTCCTTATGTCATGGGGGCAATGGGATTAAGACCAAAATCATCAGCTGCAACTATAGAATACAAATGTCATGTGGAAATGTACTCAAACTATGGTAACACCTCAGTTATAAATTCCCAGTGACTACGTAACCCCAAATGCACTCTGAGCTTTCACCCAAAAAAGTCTCAAGTCATAGAGAATGACTTTGGGAATGTAACACAGAAGTGCCAGGACTAACCCAGTCCTCTATTACGTTTGCCATTCTTGCTTTCATTGTTGTCAGATTTTGATCTTAATCTGCATTTATGGTTGCACATTTGGTTCTTAATTCCAAGTTTTTACAGGGAAAAAAAAGCTAGTTAAGAAAGTCTCTGACCAACAATGAAATAATTTCAGTGTAGTTTTTATTATTTAGCATATGAATACTTATTTGGATGTTTTCAAAATGGGTTACTAATGATGTTTAAACTTTGTGTATAATAGAAGATCATATTATCTTTTATTTTTGTTTTCTTTTTCTAAAGTGACACTCAAAGCTGATTTTGCAAGGAAATTTTCACTATCCTGTTGTTTATTTAATTTATTAAGTAATTAAATAATTTTCCACTCTCTTAATTTCTAGAAAAGTCACCTGTGTTTAGTGATTATCTAAAACATTTATCCCATTTTCGTATAAATAAATTAGAAATAGTTCTAATAGGAGTTATGGAAGGACATATTATATGTGCCCCCACTGAAAGTAAGAAATTCTATATTTTTAATGCATGTAATGATATAAGCAAAACAACAGAATAATTAATAAGCCCTAAAAATGTTGTGACAGGGATGCCAAAAAAAAAAAAAAGGAAAGAAAGAAATTTGTTCAAGCATGCCTAGCACCCTAGAGGATACCTCAGTCCTGCTGACTGCTAAAACTCACTGGTTTTCCTTTTGTCTTACAGAAAGAATGTGCTAATTTCATCAAGGTACTTAAGGCATATAATCAGACTCACTTGTATGCCTGTGGAACTGGGGCCTTTCATCCAATTTGCACCTACATTGAAATTGGACATCATCCTGAGGTAAAGCTGGCTTTTAAAAAAATGGTGTTTGTCCATGACCCCGTCCTATTCAAATGCTTCACTACTCATTTCTTCAGCTCATTTTGCTTCTGGTTCACTATTCAGTAAAACCTACTTCAAATTCAGATGCTGTTATTAATTTTAATCTGTGAATGCAAAAAGAATGGGACTATCACTCAACAATAACTATGAACAGGAGGAAAGAAGGAAGAAAGCATTTGTTTTCGCCCTGGATACAGAGTCCAATCCCTTTTGCATGTGCAGCAGATGTCGGCAGGCTGAATGTGCACTGTCTGCTCCTTCATTTATATGTCGCCAGCTTTCCCCTCCACTTCCACCCTCAGTCTGAAGTGTCTGCCACCCAGTTGTTTCTTCTGCCTAGGGATTAAGAGAGGATGCCCTAAATATGCACAATGGTGTGATCTCATGTTTAACCCAAATTATTCACATTTGTGTTCTTGCTCAGCTATGCTTTGCTTTTTTTATATTAATATTTTTGGTTATTACTTTGGTGGTATGGAAGAGAAAAAACAAAAAATGATTTTCTTTTGTTTGTTACTTCTAAAAGATATTTTAGTGAGAAAATTTAGCATTTTGGTAAATTTGATTAAAAATCAAAATAAAGGAAAGGCTGCTAATGTCGAAAGTAACATTAGCAGTCTGGTGAATTTGGTGAATTTGGCTTATAAGTAGCCTTCAAGTATAAACCCTTGTATAATTTTTGGCACAAAATCCTAAGAAGAACAAAAGCTTTCATGTGGTGAGAAAATCATTTGTGATAGAATTTTTTTTTTTTTTGCAATTGGAATTCAGATGTACTCAACCAATAAAGGACATATTCCCCAAATATTTCTATAATCCTAAAGATAAAATATAACTTATATGTTAGTCACTTCTTTATAACTTAAACTTTTTACTTTCTCTCTCTAAATTTCTTAAGGTTTCCTAAAATGATACGAATGTGTCTTTTGATCAAATGGATTAGAAATCAGAAATGTTTATGTTGTGCCTTCTTTGTATATAGGAAGGCATCTTAGAGACTATGTAGTTTCTAGATTGAATATAATTATTTTTTGTTATTGATAAACCTGAGAAGATTAAGACATTTTCCCAAGGGCAAGTTAGGGCAATTGCTCCACATTCCCCCTACCACATCCTTCCTTCTCCTCTTCCTCACAAGCATATGCATATACTGTTTTTGCTGACATATTCAAGAGTTACAAGTAAAAAGTGACTTTAGAAAAGTCAGTTCTACTTAAATTTCTTGTTTTATGTAGATGAAATTAGTAATATGTTTATGCACATGGTCCTGGAGACATTGTATGCTTAATTTGTTGCATCATGGAATTAAATTGCCCCCTCTTTGCTGTCTTCTCAGTTATTTCCTATGATAATAAGTAAGGTATCCTAAAACTTGGGCCTAGGGTTATTGTACCAGTTTTCTGTATTCTGGAGACAGCTCCAGAGAACTCCCTCCATATCATACTGCACTTTTTACATCAGGAATGATGCTGTACGTGATTGGCAATGAAGTTAGGGATGCTCGACTTCTAGCGCAGATCAGAAAAGACCAGGACTTTGGGATTGTATATGGCTTCAAGTCTTGCTGTACAACTTACTAGCTGTAGAGCGCTGGAAAAATTACTTAACCTCTCTGAGACTCTGTCTCATAATATGCAAAACAAACTAAACAAACTCATTTGATCATCAGTGTCTATATCCTTTAAATGAGAGGCTAATTATATGTCCTCCAACCCTCCTGAAAGGGTATAATTCATTGTCTTTTTTTTTCCTATAGAAAATCAAGGAGTTTTAATCCCATCATTGTTAAATGATGGGCCATGTCCTCTAGCCTCAGGAGGCTTTTAGCCAACCTCAATTTCTTACTGATTGCTTGATCTGGTGCAATTTATTTATCTTCTCTGCATTTATGTTTCTAAGCTTGAAAGTTGTAATGAAAATGGTCTCTAACTCATACAGTTGTGAGAGTTAAACATTGTCTAATAGTAGATGCTGAAAAAAGTAAAAATATTAGAAAATATAAATATTTTAAAATAAAAATCTGTATCTTTTTCATATAAAATATAAATCTTTTAAAATATAATATATAAATCTTCATCTCAGCTAAACGCTGTTGCTGTTTTGCTTGCTAGTAATTGTCACCTAGCTTCTTAGATGTTTCACACTTCATTAGAGGTTGTAAATTATGGCAGTGGGCTCTCATGGTTGCTGGGTGATTCTGCACTTAATTTCTCCCATTTTTAAATTTTTTGCTTACGTGGTGATGATCATTTAAATTAAAATGTTATATGTTGTTTCTACATTTTTATCATTCTTCCCAAAATGTTCATTTTTTTTTTCCTTTCTGAAGTTGCTATTTAGTAGAATTGACAGCATATGCCCTCTTCTACTCATCAACTGCTCAATTCCACCTTATGGGTGGGAAGGTGGGAGCGTGAAGAGCTACAGGTTCTGGAGCCAGACTGCTGACCCAGCAGAACCCCCACCAAAATCATAAATAAACAAAGCTTCCTATCTGAGCTCTTTGAGGAGAGAGATCGAAGTGAAAGTATTTTCCTAAGACTCCGAAACTCAGAGCCTTTGAGAGAGGTCGTCCTTTAGAAGCTCAGTGATTTCTATTTGCTTGACAACTATAGACTAGGAAATACTGTTCCAGACTGTTTAGGAGGTCAGAAGGGAGATGATCATGCAATTATCTGGGGAATCTGGAGCAGTCTAGACAGTCAATCTAGGAAATTCTGGAAAAGATATTATCATATAGCTTGTCTAGACTACATCAAATTTAATTTTCAATGTTTAAGCTGCTTTAAGAGAGTATCTGTTTTAAATTGATCTATACTGATACTTAAAACACTACCCTTGGATTTAAGCAGTTATGCTGCTTGTGAAGTTGAGGAAAAGAGCTTATGCTTCATAGTGCTAGGAAAAGAATGACAGTAATAAAAGGATTGGAAAAGTAAAATATAATAGGCATCAGGACAGAGGCCAGGGTTGTTAGGTTAGAGTTCATAAATTCTCATAAAGTTTGAATATATTAACTTTTATTTACAAGGGTGACTTTTCAAATAAAGGACTCATCTTTCCCTTAAATTCTAGTTTAGAAGTTGCATGTATACTTTGCTGTTACCTGCCCCACACTACATGAAATAATGAAAGATGATTTTTCTTTTAAAATTTTGTACAGTCTTTACATATTTAAAAGAATTTTATCATAAAAAAAGAACATTTTACTTTTTGCTTTTATCAAGACTTGTATGGACATTTTAACATTTTTTTGGTGTTCTTCCTTCTAAATAACTTATGGTCTTACACCGTGTTCCCAAGAATGTTGAAAACCCGTTGTCAAAAAATGACATTATGGCCTTACCATTCTAGATTGAAGAATGCCACAAAAGTAAAGACTCACCTTTGAAGCAAATCAAGGCCCCCTTCATCATTTAATATCTTTGTATCTAACAGGAGGAAATCAATAGTCACTCCTAAGTAATAACATAACAGTTGCAAAATAACCTTCAATTTAGCCTTCTAGTTACAAAAATAAACCTCTTTTATTCTCCTAGCATCTTAATAGCTATACAGTCATGAGTCATTTAATGATCAGGATAGGATCTGAGAAATGTGTCCGTTGGTGATTTCATCATTGTGGGAACATCATAGAGTGTACTTATATAAACCTAGATGTATAGCCTACTACATACCTAGACTATATGTTATAGCCTATTGCTCCAAGGTTACAAACCTACATAACATGTTACTGAATACTGAGTACTGAATGCTGTAGACCATTGTAACGCAATGGTAAGTATTTAAGTATCTAAACATATTTAAACACAGGAAAGGTAATGCAGTATGCTATGATATTGCAATGGTTAATATGTCACTAGGCAACAGGAATTTTTAAGATCCATTCTAACCTTATGGGACTATCATGCTATATGAGGGCCATCATTGACCAAAATGCCATTATACGATATATGACTGTATTTACACTCCTGAATAGTGTATTCCAAAATCTACTTTTGCTGTATTGCGAATGCCTTCTGACCACAAAGAGTATGTCATTGATTGCTGCATTAAATAGATTTTCTGTTTCCTGTGGTACATTTGGGAATTGGTAGACATATTAATTAACTCCAGGTCTGTAAGATGTGTGTCAATCAATTCTTGGGTATCTGCCAATAACAGTTGATAACTACCAGTGAGGTCACATACTTCATACACATGTGTGTGTTTATCATAAAATCTACAGAGTTCATGGAAAAAATGATTCAGAGCTAGACTACAAATGAGTTTTGAATTTTAAGCTCTCAGCATCCATGTCATTCAAATGAAAAATGTAAGTCATCCTTAAGAGGTGGAATATTCCCAAATGGTTTATAGTATATGATATTTCCCCTTCAAATTGACATCTGTTAATTTTTAAAAAGTATGAATTTAGGAGGAGTATAGCTTTTTGAAGAAGTCTCTGGATGTTTTCTCAAATTCCAAATGGGCCTCTTCTATGTACAGGCAGGAAATCTAACGAAAGAAGGACCCAGATGAGGATTGGAAAGTATTAACTCTCAGAATGGCATGATCTCAATTTATGATAGAACCAACGGGACATTAAGAAATGCAATGAGGCTTGATGGCTGTTTCTAAGGTCATTTCTACAATGACAACTAATATATCCACATATGAAATAAAATGTTTTGCCTGATTCTTCCTTTCCACCAAGAATAGGAGTGTGCTCTTATGCAGAACTTTGAAGCAAATACTGTTAGTAACAGTTTCCAAGGCCAAAATGTTATTTAAGTAGTAGGTAGTGCTCTTTTCACTAATTTATACATCTACTCTAACCCCTTCTAATTGATTTATCTCCCCCAATTTATTATGCTATTTAGTCTAATGAAGCACAGGTTTATTTCTTAAGAATTAATACTAAAGCTGAGAAATTCAGATATCCTGGCAAAATAATGAGGGGCTGCTTTTGGGTAGGT